TCTTCCAACCTGGGCGTTGCTAGTGTCAGCGTCTCGGCCCTATGATAGTATCTACCACTCCTGACCCACCGTTGCCGGTACCAGAGACCCTGTCCGATGATGGCACCGTCCCCTGGTCCAGTGCTCCCGGCCCCAGCTCCCCCTGGTCCGCCGTTGCTGGTACCAGAGCCCCTGTCCGATGAATGGCAACCGTCCCCTGGTCGCGGTGCTCCCGTCACCAGCTCCCCTGGTCCGGCCGCTGCTGGCACCCAGAGCCCCTGGTCCGATGATGACACCGTCCCCTTGTCCCGGTGCCCCGGCCCCAGCCTCCCCCTGGTCCGCCGTTTGCTGGGACCAGAGCCCATGGTACGATGATTGACCACCGTCCCCTGGTCCGGTTGCTCCCGGCCCCAGCTCCCCCTGGTCCGCCGTTGCTGGTACCAGAGCCCCTGTCCGATGATGACACCGTCCCCTGGTCCGGTGCTCCCGGCCCCAGCTCCCCCTGGTCCGCCGCTGCTGGTACCAGAGCCCCTGTCCGATGATGACACCGTCCCCTGGTCCGGTGCTCCCGGCCCCAGCGCCAGTGACCGGCGGCGCCGTGAGAAGCGGCCCACCTGACCGTGTCATCACATTAATTCGCCTGCTTTATCACGGTTAGCGGGGTCGCCCTGAATCGCAGTCCGGCGCGCCGGACGCCCGGCGTATTTTTCAATCAGCCGCCGCCGCATTGTGGCCGAGTGCGCCGCGGCACGGAAGCCCGCCCGCTTTACGCGCCCTCCTGCCGCGTAAATCAGCGGCGGACGCGCCGAAAGGCGGCGGCGCGGTGGGCCCACTCGCGCCACCGGCCGGGCCATACCTCAGCAGACAAAACCGGCGCCGACCTGGGCGCCTGAGTGGTGGTCGTGATTCGGTCCGGCGACGGCCGGCCCCGCGCCGCGCCGCTCGCCGCACGCGTCGTGATCGCCGCCGCTTTTTTGGGTGGCGGAAAAACACTCGGGGCGTTGTCGCCCGTCCCCGAAGCGACGGAAATGGTATGGCGAAAATACGTCGGCGGACGCGGTGGCATGCTTGAGTCCTGTATGTTGGCTACATGGTGGTGGCGATGGGAATACGGTGTCGGCGGAGAACGCGCCGACACTGTACGGCACCGACACCGACAACACGGTTATCAGCATCGTCAAGCTACGTTGTTCGGAAGTGGTGACCTCAGAGCTGGCATGGACTGCATGAGTCGTTAGAAATGGCTCGGGCACTTTCAAGTGAACGAAATCCACGAAAGCGAATTTGCTAAGCCGGGGGCATTTGGCAACTCATGTCTTTCCTCATGACGGTTATCCGACGAGGAAGACGCTCCCATCGGATCTGATGTAACCAGACTGTATGCATGATTTGGTTGTTTGCTAAGGATGCGGGCACGATATAATGTTTTATCAAGACAGCTCAACATACGACTAGAATTTCATCGAAGCCATATTTCATGAATGTCCAGAAATCACATCATTGGAAAGTGCCCCCTATGCCCGTAAGTACATCTCTGGATGCAACTGCGACAACGGCAATTCTTCGGCTTGAGCGCCTATTTTATGTGACAGAAAATCTTGTGCAGTTAGACCATTAGACAACATAGCATTCATAAGCCGCTTGAATCGACAGCTTGATTATAATTGAACAGAGACGAAAGAGAGGAGGCATTACCACCTATTATTTGATATTCTCAACATCTTCCGCTAATCGTTGTGTGTGGCTGTCACGATTGCTTCACGATGAAAAATGATCGACGCCCTTCCTGCCTCACTACAAATATGCATCGTTGGCGGCACGGCTCCGAGAGCAAGTGGCGTGGCGGTAGGAAATACCGTCTCGGAATCTGAAGGCTGGGGTTTGGTACTTGATCACGGCGTATTTCACACGTGCTGCCACAGCCGTTGCTGCTTAACAACGCTACTAGACTTAACAGACACGGGCATAAACACCGATGACATGGGATTAAGGTACTCTGAGTTCGTGTCGTACCGATGAGGGATGGTGGATGACCCACCGATTCAATGTGCGCGAAACAGTTTGTTATTCGTACCTTATCCAAGACAGGAGGATGACTTACATCTGCCCTGAAATCTGAAGCTGAGAGTTTTTGAGCTTAAGAAAGCTAAGTGCTGGTTTATCTGTGTGTAGGTAGGCCGTTGGCTTGTTTTGTTCACTTAAAGGAACTCCGACAACTTTGCACATACCACCTGCACCGCCGACCCCCGGCCATGCTTCCGGGGGTCGGCGGTGACTCAGAGCCACCGGGGGTCGGCCGGCGGTTCAGAGAAGCAGCCGGGGGTCGGCGGTGACTCAGAGCCACCGGGGGTCGGCCGGCGGTTCAGAGAAGCAGCCGGGGGTCGGCCGGCAGCTCTGAGCAGTCGGGGGCCGGCCGGTGGCTCAGAGAAGCAGCCGGGGGTCGGCCGGCGGCTCAGAGCCACCAGGGGTCGGTCGACGGCTCAGAGAAGCAGCCGGGGGTCGGCCGGCGGCTCAGAGCAGTCGGGGGCCGGCCGGTGGCTCACGGCAGCCCGCTGAGCGCCGGCGGTGACCGGATGGAGGCACTGACTCGGGCCGTACCCAGCGGCCACTGGACGCCCGGTCCGGCACGGCCCGGCCCGGCCCGGCCCGGCCCGGCGGCCATTAACAACAAGAGCAGGGCGTGTCCCGGCCGGTACATATTTGATGGCCTCCCGCGGGACACGGCCGGCACGCAACACTGCTCTCCCAATTAATTAGCGAGCCACAGAAATGTTTTGATTGAATGAACTTAAATGATATGATGCTGTAGCACATTACCGCTGCGTTGAGAGCAGTGGCACAATGTAAGCACAGTGTCTGTCAGATATTTACCATCCGCTTCCGCACTGATGTCAAGTGCTGAGCTGCCTCTGAATTGTAGGCACTCCTGCTAAATTTTGCTTGATGCAGCTGAGGAGAACACCACTGGTTTGTTCTACAGACTTGCACCCACAGCATAAAAGAACCAATCAATCCTGGCCAGCGACCGACGCAATCTAACCCAGTAACCCCGATCGCTGTCAATTCCAATTCCTGTCCGTCCGCACAGAATATAAAGTCTGCGCAGTTCTGCTGTCTTTATTGAATCGAAATTTATTTATGTTGGTAATCTGGCCAAATGTTTGGCACGTGCTCAGAAGGCGCAGCGCTCCCGGCGGGCCGGCAGCCGCCGACTATCATCGGAAGCGACGGCATAACGGAGCCGACGGAGTCGACCGTCGTCGACGGCCGGCGGCCGTCAGACGCCACTGGTTCGGGCGTGCGGCGACCTAGCGTGACAGGTGAGAGCGAAGCAGTCGATGGCGCTGACATGGATGCTGCGAGTGCTAAGTGCTAGTGTTAAGCTGCTTGAGAGCGAAGCAGTCGATGGCGCTAACATGGATGCTGCGAGTGCTAAGTGCTAGTGTTAAGCTGCTAAGTGCGTTTTTGCGGCGTTGGTTTGGCCTCCATGCTGTTTGTGCCACACTTCGTCGGGATATTGATGTCTATTGTTGTAATGTTTCTCAATCTATGCTCAAGCTTGAGAGCTTGTTTCCGAGCGAAATGTATGTGGTGGCGATGAAACCGCTGGTAATAAGGAAGATGTTTTTCTTTTTGCGAGGCTTCGAACTCTAATGCCCGCAGATCGCTGTACGTCGTCTGTTGTGTGGAGAAACCGCGGATAGATGCATCGTGTCTACAGCTAGCAGCTTTCAGGAGCCTATCAACAGTGAGGCAGAGCTAATCCGCGGACACTTTATTGCTTTTCATCTCAGAGCTTGGCTACTTTTCAGCGCATTAATTCCTTCATACACGGCTTCTCAGTCTGACCCTAAGTCTCAAACTGACGACCTGGGAGGTCAGGTCAAGCTCCGTTCAGGTTACGGGGCCTATGTGGACCTATTCGCGTAGATTGCATGTTAACACGCGCTCGGGTGGGGTGGGGGGTCAAATTTCCCCCTCCCCCAAAGGCTTTTTCAGAACGGTTTCCGAACGGCGCGGCGTAGCGCCAAATTTTGCATAGCCGTAGACAATTGAATAGCGGATCGCTTGGCATTAAAAGTTTATATGTACCTTGTGAGATCACTGACTTCAGGCAGGTCAAAGTCAGGCCATGGTTTCAGCGAAGGCAATTTCTAAGGAATCCTTCAATCTGATCCAACAACGGAGTGTTAGACGAAGCCACGTTTGCCATGAAGATGTCGAAGACGAAGCATGAAGCCAAGCCAATCTCCGAGATGCTTTCTTAGACAACACAACAGTTGAATGAACAAAATAAATTACCCTAAGGTCAGGTATGAAGGTCACACCGAGGTCAAAACCAACCTGCTTTGTTACTCTAGGGCTTGCTGTATGGGATAATTTCTGCGCTGACAGTCTAAGCGCTGAGCGTTCCCCGCCGCCTCCCACACACCCCCGCGGCCCACGACAGACCCCACCCCACACACCCCCGCGGCCCACGATGGACGCCTCCCCACGCCCCCCCCCCCGCAGCCCGCGACGGACGCCTCCCCACGCCCCCCCCCCCGCGGCCCGCGACGGACGCCTCCCCACACATCCCTGTGGCCCACCACGGACGCCTCCCACACACCGCCGCGGCCCGCGACAGACGCGGCGGACGCGGGAGCCGAGCGTCGCGCCCGCGAGTCGCGCCGCCGACCGGACCAGCATCGCCAAGTTGGGCGTGGACCGGGCCGTGCGCTCGCAGCCGGAAGCCCGGTCCGCGGCCCGGCAGTGCTCCCCGCGGCGGTGGCGGCTCCTCGGCCGACAATCACTCAGAATCAAACCATTACGGGCATTACGCGCGCTGTCGATCAGGCGGCAATTGCGGCCGCTCGGAGATGCTCGGCACGTCGGCCGGTCGGGCCGCGTCAGGTCGCCGCGACCCCCGGCAGGGGCGGGGCGGGCCGCGGCGCGCCCCCGCGTCCGCCGATCAGCGCGCAGCCGCGCTGCCCGAGGAGCGGCCGCAGCCCGCGCGGGGCGCTCAGTTCCGACCCGGTGCCCGCCCGACCCGCCGCCATGGCCGCGCTGGCCCTGCTGATTGCCGGCCTCTGCTGCCTGACACGTGAGTACCAGTTTCCGGTGCCGATGCTCGGCCGGTTCCGGGGATGGCGCAGCACGCGGGACAGATTGTGCGAGTCGCGCAACAGCTTACCTGGAAAATTGTGTTTGCTTTAATGGAAATGCAGTTGAATACTCACCAAACAAGGCAACAGACGGATAGGCGTCCTGGAAAATGTTATGCGGCACAACAATGAACGGGACCAATGCCAGTTTTCCGCACGCCTGGTGCCGCGCCCGCCCTCGCCACGACGTCGCCAGCGGCGGCAGCGCGCGACCTCGGTGACGAGTCAGTATCAGCGGCCGCACCGACCGCCCGGGCGCAGCGGCGACAAACGGCTTAACTGACGCGAAGGACAAAGCATTGCGTGCCACCGGCGCATATGCACTGGTCGCGAACTTGTCAGTAATCTGCCGTCAAACTGGGCCCCGCCCGCCAGCTGCACCGCTCGGGGCCCATCGGTAATAACCGGGGACGGGGCCGGGTTGACTGCGGCCGAGCTCAGCGCCTGGAGTCTAGAACACTGCCTATGATTGACGATCATGATAGGTATCATGCTGTTTGAATGCACGACACTGGCTTGGCTTCGATCATAAAGGTATCATGCCCTTTGAATACAAGACGCTGCTTTGGTTTGTCTTTGTAAGTAAGCGATTACGCTGTTGCGGTATTTCACTTCAGGCTGATAGCAGCATTTCGTTGCAACATGCCCAAAACGCCAACGTCTCGTCTGTGTCTGTGGTCTTTTGTTCAAAGAATGCATATAGAGGTACCGGTGCAGCTATTGTCACGTGGATCGTCTGGAGCCGCCAGGGGTAACATTCCTGAAATCGCACTCGCGCATTGATATCTCTTCTCAGTCACCTGCCTCCGACGAGCGTTCACAGAGACTGTGACCAGTAAAATTCTCACATAAACATTCGAAGCTTGTGCGAGTCATGATCGTCTGGGCATCACATGCGCTCAGAGATAGCGATCAAACATTAAGCACCCTACACTTTATGCCTTTGCTGTAAACTGTGCTCATACAATTGCCAGGAGGCGAAGTTTTAAATCAGCAATCACCGCTGGTTCCGGCCGGACCGGGTCCGCTCACAGAATCATCCCCTCTCGCTGCGGCAAGAGTCGCTCAGCTGGTGTGCTGGCCCATCAGGCCAGAAAACAGGATCAAATAGCACACTTTGGTGCCCGCATGCAACGCACACGTTGGCACTGAGACATCGCCATCGTGTCACGCTGTTCAGAGGAATTAACCGGACAAGCTCGCACGGTGATAGCTGGCATCAGGTCCTTTGCTGCTCAACGGCGATTAAATGGCAATTGCGCTCAACGGGCGCAATCGAGCACGCTGGTACTGTGATGCGCGGCATGGGATGTTATGTTTCTCAACGGGCACACTGGTGCCGTGGGGTCTGCCGTTGCTGTTAAGCTGCACTCAGTGACCATTTTAGATACTGGCGTACAGTGATGCTCGACATTGGATACCGTGATACCCGCCGATGTGTGATCGGGCACGCTGCTACCGTGACGTCCGACATCAAATGTTGTGCGCATCTAATATTTTCGAGTCTTGTATTGTGCTTTAGCAGAATCGGACAGCTAGCGCCTTGTTCACAAACACATGAGGGGTACTGCTCAAGAAGCGTAGCCGAAAGCGTTGGTTCCACGATGCACGGCATCTATGATTACATAGTCTCCATGTAATAACCATCATTTTAAAACAGACAGTTTTTCCCAGTGGTGTTTCACTGTTGAGCTAACAAATGCGCCCATTTCCAAGTGGTCGGAGGCTTTTGGTGCCCATATTTATATATGTAAGCCTGCAATCCTTCAGATGTGAAGTCGTGAATCTAACATGGCTTTGTAATACCCAATGCGCATGATCATGAATCTGGAACCATCATGCAAAAGTACATCAGCCACCTTATTACCTAAAAGCCTGTTGTTTATGTGCTCATTGAATCATTAGCATGAATGGGTACCCATAGCATGCATCTAGGTGTTGGAGGTGTATCTGCAGTGATGGAGGCGCACTGACTAGTTAGCTTATTTGAGCGACCTGTATATTTGCGTTGGAAAAGAATGCAAAGCCGGGTTTTCATGTTAATTTTTCAAGGTCTAGGAAAGCATTGATTCGTCGTATTATAGACACTGCAATATACAAGCTCTGGTTTGTTGGTCGTGAATACGGTGTTATGATACCGTTCGTTGCGCCCGGCACATGCATGACGCCTTTGCAACGCACGTACCGGGATCTGATTTCGCTGTCTTCGCTCCCTTGAGGACTTTGAACAGGCTGCTTTAAACTATATTTCACTTTTTCCAGGAAAAAAAACAAATGACACTACCATAGCTATGGCTCATCCGAAACAGTTGAGGACTATTCAAGTCGCCTTGCGACGCCCCCTTTTTCATCCGGTAATTCATCCTCTCCGAGGTATTCGTACCGAGGAAACAGTCGCGTCATCACAGTCACTCCGGCAGCAGGCATCCTCATCTCGTAAAAGAGGCAACCAAATGTACACAGTAACATAGCAATTCTTCGTACAACAGAATTTACTTCAGCCATTGTACTGATGGAATGTGCAGGACCACCACAATGCTGAGGTACGCAGCTTTCCCCGCGCCCACGATCCGTACAACGATGCGGACACGCAGAAGGCGTGCCAGCAGTTGGCGTGCGCAGCCCCGCTCCATTCATATTGTTGGAGCTCCGCATCCCCTCGCGGCAGTATTGTCCGGACCGGCTTTGAGCAGCGGAGCTGGACACAGCTGGTGGCCGTCTCATCTGGTGGCGGGTCAGGGCGAGCGTCGGCCGCTCCAGCTCGCGCCGCCCCGCCGCCGGCCGGCGGGTCTCTCCGGTCCGGTTCTGATTGTTTCTGACGAGTGGACCGGCCTGTATGCTGGCGGCGTGCGGCGGCGCCCGGCTGATTACGTCCCTCGCAGACACTAACAGGAGCTGATGACGGCCACGACACGCACAAACAGCGACTCAGCTCAGCACCGGCGGCACAGCTGGAGGCATAGCTCGGCACCACCGACACAAGCAACGACCAGACTTAGCACCGCTGGCTCAGACAGGAAGTCATCTTAGCACCGCCTAAGCAAGTGACGACCCGAATTAGCACCAACATCTAAAACAGCGGCCCGACTCAGCACCATCGACTCATACATCAACTCGATTCAGCACTATCGGCACAAACAGTGGGTTGGCTTACCACCAAAGTCAACAGCGAACCTGCTCATCATCACTAGAACAAGAAGGAACTCGGCGCGAAGACCGTCGACTCAAACAGCGAACCAGACCAGAACCACGAGAATAAGCTGTCATCCAGCTCAACACTACCGACTCAGACCTCAGCCCAGATCCACACCACCTACATAAACATGGACTCAGCCAGCAGCGCTGGCACAAGCAGCGACCCAGCTCAATGTCACCAGAGTAAACAGCGACCCATCTCGGCATGGTTCACACAGGCAGCAGCAGTGACAGCGACGTGCCTCTCAGCACTGTCCACGCAAATAGTGACCAAGCTCAACACTGCCTACGCAAGCAGCAGTAAAATTCAGCATCGCTGATGCAAACAGCAACTCGACTCAGTGCCATCAGTACGAACAGTGGCTCGGCTCAGTACCATCGGAACGAACAGCGACTAGACTCAGCACCATCGGCATGAACAGTGACTCGACTCAGCACCGTCGGCACGAACAGCGACTAGACTCAGCACTGTTAGCACAAACAGCCACCCGGCTCAACAACGGCGACAAAAGCAGTGGCCTGGCTTGGCTCAGGACCGCGGGCATAGCTGAGGGTGGGCTGAGCCTACCACAACAAAAGGCTGCACAGTTCATACCAACATTGCCGGCACAAAAAAAAAACATTTCAGTTCAGGTCACATGGTACACGAACAACGACTTTCTCAAGTTGCGTGACTGGTGTGGGAAAACAAAGGTACGGGGTTCGATTCCGCGAGGTGCCCGCTCTTCTTGCCAGAGTGAGAGGCAGGCGACGCCATGTAGCCTCAGCAGCTGAGTGCGTCGCAAAGCCGCAATGACAGCAAGCTGCGTGAGAGAAAACTGAACACAGATCATCAGTATGGGGTCAAGAAGAGCGCTCGTGCGAAATGGCATGCATCGTCTTTAACCCACGCAAGTTCTGCCTGTCACTGTAGCACTGGAGCACTGTCTGTCGAATCCGAAACGTAGCTTCAAACAAAGCTGTAAAATATTCCGGTAGCCTGTGAACCCTAACTCGTCTCCATCTATTGGATCTGGCCATCGCCGAACTTAGCAGGATATCGCGGCGATGTAATGGTCGGAGTCGTGATGTAGCCGAGATCGCAGCTCCCAACACTCGCACGCCCGCACTAACCGATGCTAATGATCGGCCCACAGCTGACATGGATAGTTGGACAGTTGGACAGTAAATGAACTAACTGTTCGTTCTCGGGTTCAAGACGGCATCAGGTCTGAGCCCACCCCTCCCGATTACAAATGCTACCGGCGTAACGCGGTCCAGCCAACTTCCTGGCCGAAGTTCTTCGACCTGGCGGGCCCGTCTGCATTCTGGCGCACGCCACGGGCCGAGGTCGCCCCCGCTGACATCTACCTCACTAACGAACTCCCGCGGGCGACGGAGCTGGCCGGTGACACGCCTCCCATGGCATGTGCCGGCGCCGGCCGCCGTGATGTTAACGAGTTTGCCTTTAAAGTTTCACCGACAAAGCCGGGCAAGTTAGCTCTGCTGCTGACGTCCGGCGGTGCGGCGCCTTTCCGGCGCCAGTCATCGTCGCCGACTCCGGCCGGAACGTCCTCCCCTTCCCGACTCTCCCGGGCTCGGCGGGGAGGGGGGCGCAACAGGCGCCGGTGTTGACAGTCTCTGTCGTGTGGAGCGGCACTTGGCGACGGGCCTGCAGCGGTAATTAGCGGGGCCACACCGGCGCGATCCCGGTGCCGTCAGGGGGTGCCGCTGGACCGCCGTATGGCCGCGAGGCCAGCTGATC